GCTGTAAATATTTTTGAACTCGCAGAAAATGTATGAGTTTTGAAAAAAGAAACAAATGTACTGCAAATGCCTCAGGGTAAAATTAGAAACAGTTTCAATCATTTTCAGGTTGGAAATTTAAAGACTTCATAGAATTTGAATCACTCCTTGATGTAAAAAAAAATCATAAAGGAATTTGAAATAGACCTTCGATGGGAGAAATTTTGTGAACATTTGCTTGACCTTATTGTATGCGTGTCCTGTAAAGTTTACAATACACCCCATTCAATAGTTTATGTGTTGATTGCCCTGGGGGGGACAAGGCGATAATTTCTGCGTCGCTGGACGCATTAAATTTATTTGTCCTCTTTTTTTTCCAGGGAAGTGGGGAAGTATATTTGAACGGGTTCTGCTTTTGTTGCGTAATTGAATTTGTAATTTGAAGTCCAAAGGGTGTTGATTGCGAAGAGCAGCAGCACTGCAATCAATCGGCAGAAGTAATGCCATTATATTTCTCATTAATTTCAATTTTAAAAGTTCTAACGTTCGAATACTCGAAACTACGTTTCAAACACGCGTTTTAAAAATAAAGCGAAAGTCTCTGAAAACTCTATACTTTGCTCACTAAGTTTACTTCATCGCAAAAAAGACACTGCATATTTTAATTTATAACTTCAACATTATCGTTAGCCGTCCATAAAGTTCTCGTTGTGTAGCTCACTAAAAATCCATGAAACTCTTTGACAAATATCCCACCTATTAAATGTCGGTTTTTTGGAAATATAAGCAGTCATAAAACATGCGCCAGCTGGTAAACTGTTTTGAAATTTGCCTTTAAGTTCGCTAATTATTCTTGAGCACCTCAACCTGACAACACCAAAAAACAGAGGTGTTCAACCTTTGGAAAACAGTACAATAAATTTATGAATTTTCACCACTAAACACTGTTGCATATACAAAGTCATATTATTCTAGCTTTCAAAATGTGTGAAAACATTTTCCATATACTAGCTTTAATTAAAAAACGTGCTTCTGCATTTGTACTATTGTGATATTGTGTTCAAAACAGGAATTGATGATCCATTGTTCAGAAATATAATGCCATCTTCTTAAGATTAAAATTATAGAAATTAACCAAGTTTATTGAGTGAAATCCATGTCATAGAGAATTTTAATGTACAAAAAATGCTGCATTAGATCATGGTTTTGAAAAAATACCTGCTACAACCATTTTTATTTGAAATATCAACAAAATACCTGGGTGTAATATTGTAAGAAAATTTTAGTAAAACTTCTCTCCTGGATTTAACCCTTTTGCAGCAAAGTTGGAATATTTTGCCAAATTGTATTTTGCCAGCACAAGCACTGAAAATTTTTTTTTAACACAGGCCAAAGTTGGGAAAAAGTTCTATAATTTTTATAAATGTGCAGAAGATTTGGCCTCAAAAATAATTAATGAAAATTCTCAATGGGTGGCATTTTTCATGCATTCCTAGCATAGGATTAACATTTGGGATTTTTTGAGACAAATGGAATCTCTTTACCTGGATTTCCTTGACTTAGGCCTGACTTATGCCCCCCCCCCCCCTGAAATCCCAACTTAGCTGCAGGATGGTCATAAACCCTCAGCTGTCCAAGGGATGGAAAGTTATTTCTTACTCTTATTTTTTCAATTTATTAATGAGAATATGAAACTTGAAAGCAAGTATTGTACACTCTTGGTCTGCATAATGCCACATAATGCAAGACAAAGTCACTGGCAATAATTTGTAGTGAAAAAATGCTTATATATATTTCTCATTTAATTTTGAGAACTCGTCTGCCTTTCATTTGCATAACAAAGCTTGATTTACACATACAGTTGGACTTCATGGGTTTTATCACATACTTTTTAAACATTTATACTGAATAACCAAGGTCGCACATAAGTGGGACAACCCTGGCATTCCTGTCCTACTATGAAGGAACGGTTGCATACCCCTTGCGTGATCATGTATAGGACTAATAGGATGGATATTATAGGGTGTGTTACCGGAATTCCTCTTCCCCCACCTTGCAGGAAGCGACATCCTCGTAAACCCAGGCGTAACTACGTCGTTAAACTCCACTCACACTCTCATACACGCCCGTCCATGCGTTCCGACTTCCGACCAAAAGCTACTCAATATGGGGGAAATATAGAAAGAAAAAAAGAGAGAAAGACACAGAGCAACGCGCGCCTGACGTCAGCTGCGCGCGTGTTCACGACCAGCATGCAACCCTAAAAATGTGATGGGTGTACAACAAGTGGAGGGGGTTGGGGGAAGGGAAACAAAAACAAAACAGAAAAGTAGAATACTGTATAAGAAAACCCAGCAGAGCAGCTCTGAAATTGCATCTGTTCGCATTCCCATCATATCCGAGCGGACACAAATAAACGCTGCGTCGAGCGAGGTATTATTGATACAGCCGTCGTCGTCGTCGTCGTCGGCCTGATGACACCCCGACACAGCGATACAGTGGCTATTTATGTCCTGTGTGTTCGTAATCAGTGTTTGTTATTCGCGGCGAGCGAAAAGCATTGATTTCCTCCAGAGATAATCTTCGTTTTCTATGTTGTGGTCTGTGTGTGGGGATGATGCGTATGAAGAGATATTAAGTTTACAAATGGGGGGGAGCGTTTGATTTATTGCTTCAGGGGGAATCCTGTGTGTAGGTCAGCTTGCTGCTTATCTGGAAGCAGCAAAACTGCCGGTTTAGGGAAATTTCATTTGCGGCTGTTTTCCAATTAATATTGATTGATGATGCACTTATTCCAGCGCAGTGCAGTTGCGGTCATCAACAAAATTGCTGGAGCGAAACGGAGTGCATGATGGTCAACGCCCTTATTTTGTCCTGCGCTCTGTGACGCTACTCTGTGTCTCCGAATGGAAAATGGAGAAACTTGATTCGATGTTTAGAGAGTGTTATCTTGAGGGGCCTTGCTTATGGCGCTGATGCAAACGAAAAGGGAACAGGATTTTTGAGAAGTCAATTTGTATATGCAGTCAAACACCTCTGTAAAATAAGTTGAGCTTCATATATAACAAGGGAGCAAATAAGTTTAACTTTGTGAAGTTTCCAGTTAGGCCGGTCAGAAACAAGCATTTTTACTGGAGGAAGAAAGAAGAATAAGAGGCAACTGGTGATCTTCTGGGCCTTGAATCCCTTCTTGAATGAGTTGACAGGGTGGTGGATTTGAAGGAAAGGCTTAATTTGCCTAATTGCTGGTGACTGGTGATCCACTTTATTTCAAAACACATGAAATTACATTTTTATTGCTCTTCTCTTTCCTGTGTCAATAAAATATTAGCCAAATGGCCTCCAGAAATTTTGAGTTACTGTGGTTTGGAGGGGAAACCCCTTTAATTAGATAGGTTTTCAATTTATAGTTTCTGAGAGAATTTGGACTGAGACTAGACAAAAATTTAATGCATGGGGAGGTGCAGTATTCAACTTGCAGTTGAAGTTTTCAAGGTTCAACTGTGCAATAAAATAATTTATCAAATTATCTTGTGGGCTCTGTGTCTTGAATATCTAAAATTAGAATGGAGAAAATGATCCAATGTGTTTCAAATAGATGATGAAATGCTCAAAGCTGAAAATAATAATAAAGACCCCAGAAATATTATACAGTACTTATTGTACCATGTATGCCCTGTATCCGTTATGAAAAAGCTTTCTCTGCATTTGCTCAACAATTCATAATATTGTCCAGCTTTCAGAAAAGAAGCTTCAGTAGTGAGGATTTAAAATTGCGTACTGCTGTACAACTTGATCTGTCACTAAAAATGGTGTCAATGGTGTGTGTGCGGTTTCTTGTTTGAATTTATGACTGAAGATGCAGGTGGGAATCTTACTCAAGGTTGCATATAACTCAAGCAAAATATTTTAATTTTTAAAAATTATTTCAGCATATACGCTTGATATCCTGAAGGAAAGATAAGGCATATGTATGTTTAAACATTGAATTATATGCTATAAAAATAAATACTGAATATTTAACCAAAATAAGCTTCGAATTTTTCTACCACCAAGAAAATTGTATGCTGATATGCTTCATATCCCACGGAAGCATTCATTTCTGACAAATAGTGTTCCTCAAATGATTTATTCTATCTCCCAGTTATCAATTGTCAAAAAAATTTGGTTTCAACTTTTGCATGGGCAGAGCTTGGTGCCTATTCGGACATTGCCACAGTGAGAGCAAAATTAATGTTTTGGATGCAGCTTTCCTTGACAATCGCATCATCAATTGAATATACTGTACACTACTGTACTGTACAGGATATCTCCTATGTCTGGGGATACCCGCGAAACAATTGGATGGTTGGGTCTTTGAAATGAAGGGTCTTCATAGCAGGCATTTGACGATAAACTTTGAGGTAAAACCTTGATAGTAGTCAGAGATACATGCATTCAACGATACGGATCGCTATGAAATATTACAATATAAGGAATATATTTTGCTTTATAGAAAATTGAAAACGTGAAGAAACAGAATACCCACCCTCTGAAGCATGAGTACCCGGACGAATACAGTGTATTTTACCGTACTCCAGCACGGTTTCTTAGTCATTTGACACACCCCTGGAGTTCCGAATCGTGAACAAGTGTTCCTCGGAGGACAGAGGCTGAGGGTCATGGGACGAGCGGCGTGGATCGCGGCTCCGTAAGAAGGTGGTAGTGAGGATTTAATGGATGTCAATTACATTGAGTGCTAAGGCAATTGCTAAGTCCTTCAGAGTTTTCTCTGCCCCTGCGGTAGCATGGAGCATTCGACTTCGTTGTGGAGATTGTGCTGTGAGGGTGTTGAAATTGGCATTCGAAGTGCTATTCGTGTTTCAGGATTAGCGGAATGTCGCCGCGATCCTGAATGTTACAGGCTAATCAACTCATATTTGCGGTGCATACTTTTTGCGTATTAGATGAGCTTTCCCCACAATAGTGAAGCATTGTGTTAATGTACTTGGTAACCGCCTAGCTTCAACATCCTCTTCTACAGGTGTTACGCTGTGATTGTTAAATTGTTGTTCATGGTTAGCGTTATCATCGTTTGATATCTTGACGAACGCTCAACCGGTTAGTTTGAATCATGGCTACACGATCTGAACGGGAAAAGGAGCGGATGAGAGCCCAGCAAGAAAAATGCGTTGTTGTTTTGGACGAGCTTCTGCGTGATGAAGACAACAAGTATTGCGTGGATTGTGACGCTAAAGGTTTGTTCAATTAGTTTGATATGCTCGGACATCTTGATTCTTTACTATCTGTTTAAATAGGACCTAGATGGGCGTCCTGGAATTTAGGAATATTCCTGTGCATCAGATGTGCTGGCATCCACCGGAACCTAGGCGTGCATGTATCTCGTGTGAAAAGCGTGAATCTAGATACTTGGTTACCGGACCAAGTAGCTGTAAGGACGAGGAGTGTACTGCGTGAAGTTCTGCTGAAATACTTCTCTATGTATTTTTCTTCCAGCCGTTGCAGCAAATGGGAAATAGCAAAGCAAGAGCTATTTATGAAGCCAAGTTACCAGACAATTATCGCCGCCCACAAACTGACTCTGCCTTGGAAGCTTTCATTCGAGCGAAGTATGAGCATAAGAAATACGTTGCAAACGAATGGGTTGAACCCAAATCACCGGTGAAAGCGAATTGGGGTGCGGAGCCCATCTCTCCACCCCCAGTCTTGCCAATACCGAACTGCAAGGAGGCCCCAGTTTCAAAAATTGTGACTGAAAAGAAGAAGAAAGAGAGCCCTAAATCAGCTATGGTAGTACCTGCATCAGTGAACGTGATACCAAAGTCGCAATCCGTTTTGGACGATCTGCTCTCTTTAGGTTTATTTAAAAAAATGTTTATAGTATGCGCACTGTAGTTAATATGATTGATTTTCCGCAGATATTCCACAGACAAAACCGGCTGTGACGCAACAAGTGGATGCTCTGGATTTATTCAGTATTGATCTTAAGCCACAGGAGTCAATATCCACAATAAAGGAAGAGCCAAAAACAGAAGCCCGGATGTCAAAAGAGTCTATACTTGCTTTGTACAAAAATTCAACAAATCAGGCTCCGAGTGAGTAATTTCCCCCCACTATGAACTGATTTAGAATTAATCTTTTCATTTTTCGAAACTTCCGTGCCGTTCGTTGCTTGGTTATCCTGGAGAACTCTAAAAGTACGATATTTAAAAACTGGTACGCACTCCTCGCATGATAAAGCTTTTAATTGATACTTGTATTCCTTGCACATGTGAATTTGGTTGTGAACAATGGAAGAAATTAGCTGCTGAACATTTATTTCTTGTGTTTCAGCTACGCGCAATAAAGTATTTCAAGTGTTGATCACTTCTAAATTTCAGTGACAATTTTGAAGGATATAACTTTATTCTCTAATTGTTCCAAAATTTCAAACGCATGACTGAAATCAGTAGTTCTACTTTCTGGCACTTGGACGTCGCACTTTTAGCATTTTAAACATTTTGTTAGGTTCATTATGCCGTAATCTTGTTCAGATGTCATGTTTGTTGTGTGTTACTGTTGAGATTAACTATTTTTGAATTATATATTTCGTGGCCTGGTTTGAGATACCTCTGAAAGAAAATTCAAAAAGCCACATTGAAGCCTGAAATTACCAGCCCAATAGCTTGGATTTGTGTGATGTCGAATTTTAAAGGAATCTCAATTTGAATTATTATTTTTTCTTGAAAGGTGGACTCGCAAGCTTCCCTAATCCAGGAATAGCTTCTTCCACGCCAGGAACCCCGGGATTTCCTGTATCGAACGGATTTTTGGCGCCATCGCAACAACAACAACCACCAGCGTATAGCCAAGTGTTAATAGACCAAATGAAGAAATTGGGAATGCAACCACCGGCTCAGCCTCCATCAGTTGTGAACCAAGCCCCGGTGTACTCTCAACAGCCTTTTCCATTTGTGTGGAACACAAACTCAGGACCGTCATCTTTGCCGAGTCAACCCATCAAGGACGACTTCGGATTGTTATTCGGCGCTCAAGCCGCCGCCACAGCCACCGCACCTGCTCCATGTGGGCAATCAATGTCGAAGTCCTTGTGGCAATAGGGGACATATTTTGTTTCTTTTCGGCGATTCGGTCAATTTTATTTTCTCCATCGAGGACTTGGGCTTTGTCTTCTGATGGAAAATATTTGCGCGAATTTAGCAACCCAAGTATGTTCGAAGGAAGTGGCTGATCGGAGTGGAAGCAATCGATTACCGTCATCGATTTTTTTTTTGCAAGGCTCAATGTTCAAATTCTTCCCCACGTAACTGCCCGAAAGAAAGTAAATAAGTATCGCGAATAATTCACGATTATATTTTTTAGAATTCAACAACTGTAAATTATTTGTCACCATTCGTTCTGGCATCGGGATTTTTTGTTTTTGTTCAATACGGGAAAGGATTTTTTAAGCTTGAGCAGATTTTCGAGGAATTTAGTGATTGTGGGGTAAATAAAATCATATGCTTTTATTGCCGAATTATGAGCTTTCGTCTAAGGAAACTTAATCTTTCGTTTGAGGTTTTCATTGTTAAATTTTTCGTGTGTTTGCTTATTTCCAGGAATTACTTCATGATTTTCGTTCGAGAGATGAATGCCAATGAGGAGTTGAACAAAAAGTCGAAAAAAGGTGAGAACTCGTAATTTATATTGTACTGGATTTTGTATTCAAAGTCATATTGCATTGCAGCTTGTCAGAAAATCTCGGAAAATTTACACTTCATCGCAAATGATCCATCAATAGCGCTTTTCCGTTTGCAAGAACATGTGATCAAGTCTTATCCTCAAGTAGTCGGCCGGAGATTGGCGAGTGCTGATTTGGACGACAAGCTGCAAGGAGCTTTTTTTGACGCGGAATATGCTTTGGAGTGAGTCGAATTGTGTTGCAATATTTTAGGAAAGATCTAAAAATTTCTTTTGACCTAGTGCTGTGAAGACAATGAAAACAGCGACGCCGAATTTCGTTTCATCTCAGCACTGTCTCAAAAATTCCCTTTTCTTCCAGCAACAACTCCGTCACGAGAAGAAACGAAAGTGAGTTGACATGTGTTATATGAGTTGTTGTGTTTGCAACTCGAAACTTATGTGTATTACATTTTATTGACGCTTGGTTTTGTAGAGCTGAATGGAGTCAGCATGCCGACTCGGAATCAACTTGAGTTGATTTTTTTCCTTGTGAGTTATATTTTTTTCCATATTTTTAGTACAGTATGTCCCTGAAGAGACAAGTATGTATACTTGTATAGCATCTCTTCATTTCAGGAATGTTCTTGATTTTTTGCTGCTGATCATTTGTGACGTTCAGCAACATTTTCAATTTATCATATGCGGAGTCAATCTTCGGTTTCTGTGCTCGTCTAGTGATCAATGCCCGTACTTTTTCGTCTCGTGAGTTGTTCTATCTTAATGCTAAATTTATCTGTCTTTTTTTTGTCATTTCTTTCCGTGTTATTTTTTCTTTCCGGTTATTTTACTTATGTGGTATCTTAAGGCGCCCGAATTTCACAATACTGTGCAATGGTTATCCAGTGAAGGCGGATTTTTTCATTTTGGAGGAAAATCTGTTGTCCAAAAGCCGTGAAACTTAGTACTGTACACTGTGTACAGTACTACTTAATAGTGTAACGTTATATTTACAGTATTATGGAGTAGCCTGATGTGTTCCAGATCAATAGGCAATTTTCTTACTAAATTTTGATTAAATGTGTCAACTATAATATTATTGAAAGAAATGAACAGCCAAGTACCGTACTCCAGAAGACCAGAACGATAGTAGCAATTTGTGAAACAGTCTTAAAAGTTTTTATTAAGCGAAATCTGAGACAAACTTCATTTTCCGGGAAAGCATTGATGTTTTTGATGAATCTTTCTTTTTTATGTCCAATTTCGAAAGGAAAATTTGGTGGTTACGTTTTGTCAGTGGTATATTTTCCTGAATTAATTCTTGTACGATTTTCCGCGTTTCATGTACAGTAAATTTTTTTATGGTTGGTAATTCAACCAATTTCCGGAATAACAAAATGTTCCCCGTTCTCCCACTGCAAGAGCTTATTTTCTGATGGTTATGCGAGCTAAACAATGTATCTTCGATGACATTTCATAATTCTCATGTTTTTCTGTTGGAATATTTATTTAATACACGTCTATTTGGCATTTTCATCTGGCTCTTTAGGCGTGGGAAAAGGGAGTGACCTTGCGCTTTCTTCAAACGCCGACTTATCAAGATATTGGTTATTGAATGCGTGAAAATAATTTTTTTTCCTCCCAACAGCAAACGAGGAGGAATGAAACGGTCCCAATCACAAGACCGACAGCAGCAAAGGAGCCGCCCTTCTTCGATGTACCAAAGGCTTTCTGCTCTTTCGGTGGAGCTCGATCTTCCAGATTTGACTCTTGCGAATGTTGGTGAAATTCCTGATGCTCTACGTCGGCGAGCATCTCGAGCGTATGATCGAATAACTTCGAATGCATCTACGCAAAATTCCGTGGATGCTGCTGAAGCCGTTGTTGAGGCAAAAGCGGGGAAGACGAAGTCCGAGAAGGGTGTCGTTATGGAAGGAGAAGATGATTAAAATCCGTTCTGTGATTACCCCCCTTTTATTCGTGATCTCGAAAAAAGTGCTTGGGTTTTAACTTGCCTGGTTTTGTTGCTTTAGATTTTGTGGACGGAAAATAAGGTGTGCGAAATGGCGGAAACTGAGGGTCAGGTGAGGAATTTGCTTTAATTTCCTGTGATTCAAAAGTTCTGAATCGATGTTTTTTGAACGTAAGTGAAAACTAGAATCCGCTCAAATTTATTTGCAAAGAAATATTAATTGTGACCCATGAAATGCGGCCCAAAAGTCAACTTACGGTCACCGTATCTGTATCTCGAGCTAAAATATGCCAGTAAATGGCTCTGCCGTAGAAATTTCTGATACAAAATGTAAAATTATTCGAAAATGGGTTTACGAGTTGAACTGTTCGGTATAATTAAATATTTTTATTCAGGTGATTACCTGCAGAGCCGCGGTTGCGTGGGAGGCGAAAAAGCCGCTGAAAATTGAGATGATCCAAGTGGCTCCTCCGGAAGCAGGAGAGGTGAGGTGATCAAGCTGTCGAGTACTCGACTGTCCTGGATCATTTATGTTTCGAATTTGTCCTCCGTTCCCCTTTGATTTTTGAAGCGACGCAGTGATATAAATTCTAGAGTTGGTCCGGAATTTGCATCAGATTTGTGGCTTCTTAAAGCGGACCTGGGTAAGAGACAAAACTCCGTGAAGAACTGCTTTTCAAAGTACCAATAATTCTTTGAGCTTATCCTTCCTGTGGCATCACTATTCAGTTTAAAGCTGAAATAAACTGGCCTGAATAGGATGAGAAATCCTTCGTTATGACATGAAGCATTTCCCGATCATAATAAAATGAAATCCGCTGAAGTTTTCCTCATCATTAAACATCGAGTGTTCGCAAATTTACTTCGTGAAATTTTTTTTTCAGCATTATCGTATTTATTCGAGTGTCTCTTATCCTCAAGTAAGATGCGCACCAGGGTTTTTCAGTCAACAATTTGGATAAAATTGTATCTTGGAGGTAGACCCGCACCCAATTTTTGTGACTCTGAAACAGAAATATTTTTAAAATCGGAGCCCCCGATCTTGAATTTATGCATGAATTCAACCTGGATTCAGGCTAATTTTCAACTTTTTCTTTCGCAATAAGTTTTTCTGTTGAAACCGTTCCAAAATCTCCCCCTTTGAATAAAATGTAATGCAGTCCTAAACTTCTGAAACATTTTGAAAAATGTATACCCATGTTTGAAGAAAATTCCTTCTTTCCTCTCAGTATTGAAAGAAAGGTGCGCATGGTAATTTCAGTATGTTACCAGTGTCACCACTGACCAGAATGTGTTTTGAAACGTGAATTTTCGTTTGTAGGCATTTCTCCTGTGTCCCGAAAACAATTATCGCATTCGCCGTTGAATAAACTGAAATTTATTTCGAGGACTTTAGAAAGTTTTGCGACTCCCAATGTGTGCTGTGCGAAAATTTCTTGGAAAGGGTTCCATTTTTCATGTGGGAAAAATATCCTTTCCCAGGTCCGCATTCGCTTGTATGCAACCGGAGTATGCCATACGGATGCTTACACACTCGACGGACACGATCCCGAAGGCATTTTCCCGTCTGTCCTGGGCCACGAAGGAGCCGGAATAGTGGAAAGCGTCGGGGAAGGCGTCACTTCTGTCCAACGCGGCGATCACGTGATCCCGCTGTACATTCCCCAATGCGGCGAGTGCAAGTTTTGCCAAAGTTCGAAGACGAATTTGTGCGGAAAAATCAGGGCCACTCAGGGCAAGGGGCTGATGCCGAATGGCACTTCGAGATTGTCATGCAATGGGGAAACGTTGTTTCACTTCATGGGATGTTCCACCTTTTCGGAATACACCGTAGTCGCTGAGATTTCGGTCTGCAAGGTGAGATGGTTCTGTCTTGAGTCTTTCACGAATGAGTTGGACTTTAGGAAATTGCTGGTATATTGTACAGTGTAATGCATTTTTTTTATAGGTACGCCTATTAATCTGTAGTAAGTTCGTTAAGCAGAAAAAGTCGTTGTAGAGAGTCCACCTGTATGCCTCTTTTTTTCATAGGGTTCTCTCCCCATTTTATCGGGGCTCTGTACGACGGAATTCTGATTCTCTCCACACCAAATTTTTTCTGGTCCCTTGAATTTTGTTGTAGAGAGAGTCCATTGGTGTGAAATAAATTCTGTTGTGTCCCGTTGCTTGGTATTGGGGATCCCCGCATCAAAACTTGGGAAACCCCCACGCTAAACCTGGGGAAAACCCCAGCGCAGAAATGTGAAAAAAAACATTGAAACTTGACACTCAAAGAAAAGCAATCTATTTGTTGCAACGAAATCGTTGCCTGAACACTTGAGTAGATGTCATTGGTAGTCAGGTCCAGTTGGCAAAAATTATTCTGTGGGACGCGTCCATTATACGTGTTACCTCTCCTAAAATTTCTCAACATTTTGTGCATATGTGATCAGATTGCAGTTGAGGCTCCTTTGGACAAGGTGTGTTTGCTGGGTTGCGGAATCAGCACAGGCTATGGAGCCGCTTTGAACACTGCGCAAGTCGAACCCGGTTCAACTGTTGGAATATGGGGGCTTGGAACAGTAGGTCTGGCTGTTGCAATGGGAGCTCGGAAGGCGGGTGCGAAAAGGATCATTGGCATTGACGTCAATCCCGACAAGTTTGAAGTAGGTAAGTTGCATGGGAGTGATTAATTTTTCGAAAATTGTACCTCAAGTATGGATTTGCGAAGGAAGCTAAAACCGTGTTTATCGTGCAGCTCAAAAGTTTGGTTGCACCGAGTTTCTGAATCCCAAAGACTTTCCTGGAAGGGACATTCAAGATGTTGCGGTGGAAATGACTGACGGAGGGTTTGATTATACGTTCGAATGTATTGGGAACGTGCAAACTATGGTGAGAATTTCACGCTGTATTTTTCATTTGGCCAAGGTTCAAAATATTACATCAGGTTTAACGTGGTGAGCTATGATACAACTGGGATTGTGTCTGTTTGTGTTGATCTATCAAAACAGTTTCAGTCGTAATTTTTACGGTAAACTCTCGTTACAACGAAGCCATTCAGACTAGTAAAATAGTTTCAATTATGAAATGCAAAGCATTCTTGTCTAATTTGCAGAGAGCCGCTCTTGAATCCTGCCACAAAGGCTGGGGAACGTCTGTCATTATTGGAGTAGCAGCGGCTGGACAGGAAATTTCTACTCGTCCGTTCCAACTGGTAACTGGTCGTGTTTGGAAAGGATCAGCATTCGGCGGATGGAAAAGCCGTGATTCCGTGCCAAAATTGGTTGATGAATATCTGGCTGCGAAATTGATGGTGGACGAATTTGCGACTCATTCCATGCCCTTGGACAAGATAAATCATGGCTTTGACTTGATGCATGCTGGGAAAAGGTTAGTGTCATTTCATTTTGCCCCATGAATTTTGTTAGGATTTTAACGGGGTTGGAATGTTTTTGCTCTGTTTTTGACAGCTTGAGGACCGTCATCCGACTGATAGAAGGATAAGAAGACGAGGATCACTCACAAACATTGGATTTTGGCGTGAAAACTGCTTTTTTTTGGGTGCTGGGCTTCTATTTAAAAGTTTGGGAAACCAACAAGTCGTGAAAGGTGGGATCAAAGTATTCGAATCTGTCCTGGTATGTAAATAAAATGCTTCGGAACGAATTCGGAGGCAGTGATTCATTTCACTCGAATTTTAATATTTTGATCTGTTATTGTATTCTATTTTCAAGGTACTGTATAACAAACGTCGCAGCTTGTGAACATGAACCTGAGTGATGCTGAGGAAAGTGCTGTTATTGAGCAAAATTCCATTGGCTTGAAGGTGGTGGAAACCTTCGTAGGGCCCTCGAAAATTTGGTGTATTTCGTCGTTATTAGTCAAAATTTGTGTGACGTGATGCCCGCGAAATCTAGCAGAGCCAGTGGCGATGTGCCGTCGCACGATTGTGTGCTCAAGTTGCTCATGGCTGGAGATTCTGGAGTCGGGAAATCTTCTCTTGTTTACCGATTTATAGACAACACGTTCACTCCTACTTTCGTGTCCACGGTTGGAGTGGATTTCAAGATCAAAAACGTTTCTGTGAAGCAACGGAAGGTATTCTGTGATTCATTGTGTGATGGGTTTATCCGATTTATGATGGTTGAGTAACCACGGTATCCCAATATTGCTTCAAGCAGAGAATCTTAATTTGTTTCATCCATCGTTGAAAGGAGAATTCATTCTTTTGAACGCTTACTGGAGTAATATTTCACGGCTTACTGGAGTAAGGATGTTAATTTGACTTAAGATTCTCTTAATTGTCTTAAATTTGTATCGAATTTGTGGCGTTTTTTTTCATTATCCGTGATGTATGATTTATTCTACGATTCATGCTCGTGCGACATGAATTCCTTTTTAAATGAGAAATGAAAATGATCGAATTTGGAAAAAGGAAGCACGAAATGGCTTTTCAGTCTCATTAAATCGGGTTTAGAATTGATAAGCCAGAGAGTTAGTAGACATATTCCTTAAATGATCACCACGCAGAATTACGAGGAGCACGAATAAGAAATGCTGGAATCATCTTAGGAAAAGTTTCATGAAAGTAATTGAAGGCTTATCATTGAAGGATTAATTTTTCTGTGAAACAAGGTTATTTCGGGTTGAGGTCATTCGAAATTATTTCAATGGGAAATACTGCAATCATTCATTGCACAGATGAACTCTCTCTCTGTATAACATTTACGAATTGTTTTTATGATCCCATGGAGTTATTTTCCATGTTATAGGAGTTGTCTACAACGAAATTCAAGGGACCAGAACAAATTTAGAGAATCCATTTGCGTGAGGCACCAAGGAATTTTGCATCAGTATTATATTTTGTAAAGGTTTACCGTGTTGGGGTTTTTGTGGAAGAAAAAAATATTTGCTTATGAAAAGAAGGTATGTTTGTCTTGCTAATCTCGTGATGCATAAATATTTTTTGATGCCTCAAGTTTTTTAGTTTGCCCCGAAGACTTGATTTTAGTTTCTGCGAGGACTTTTCAGTCATCCCTCATCCATGTGCCAACCATAGACACTGAACTGATTTAGTAAGAATCGTCATGCTTAGATTGAGAGGAGACTGTTATCGCTGATGGGTTCTGTACGTGACTCGCATGTGATAGCGCGATGTACTTCAGGTTTCTTTTGTCTGTGTCGGATACCATGAGAACGTGTTGATTATTTCGATCGGGATTCGAACGTGCATGCTTTTATTTTATTGATTCATCTACAGATTTTGGAAGATCTCCTAATCTCCGATCGGATGACACAGGGCAACTTTGACGCGTCATGAAAGATCGCTGTATGAGATATTGATGAGGAATTTCTGAGATCTGCCCGATCCATTTTTGGGGACCTATTGAAATAAATTAATTTAATTTCGAAGTGTAGTAAAGGTAATTTAGTTCGAGTTCTTTCAGGTCAATGAAGTTCAATCTTGGGCGAGGTTATTGTTGAAGACTGAAGTAACTTTTTGCATGTAATATTGCTTCAATTAACTGAAAAATGATACCATACTCGGGTACCACTTGCTTGCATTGCGCATTGATTTTTCAAGACTTGCACCGTATTTTTTTTATAGAGGAATCGATGCCTTTTTACGACATGCTCCCCAGTTTTCTGTTACACCAAAATCTTATTTTTGGAAATAATATGTAAATCCAATATTTTTGTTCCGCCGTTCGAGAAAAATCTTCTTGTTCAATTTGATTAAATTTATATGTGTACTGTACTAATAATAATCCCTAACGAAATTATTTCTTTTAAGGTTTAAATGTCACTTCAGGTGTTTCAAGTATGACACAAACCAAAAATGTTAAATATTCGCAGACAACAGGGTCATATTGTACTCGAGTTTGACGAGCATCCCGTTTTTCGAGCTTAATTTTTGCGGAAAAGGGGACGGGTTGTACTTGGGGGGGTTAATCCATTACGTTCCCTCCACCAGTTGAGCGCAATATTCTCCTTCGAAGCGCTGAAGTAGATTTTTGAATTGTCTGTTTTTTGAACCCATGCTCATCCGTTGGATGGCTTCAACTTTATTGACATTTTTGTGAATTTGCTGATGCTAGGTGCGTCTCCAAATCTGGGACACTGCTGGTCAAGAAAGATATCAGTCCATAACTCCGGCCTACTATCGTTCTGCAAACGGTGTCGTAATCGTTTTCGACTTGACCAATGTGGATAGTTTCAGTCACGTTACGAGGTGGATGCAGTTGATCCAAAAGCACTGTGATGATGACGTGGAAGTTTTCCTTGTTGGTCAGTGATTTATCTATCAAAGGATACTTGACCTAATTTGAGTTACGCAATTTTCATGAATTTTTGTTTTGTTTAATGTGCCCTGCCTTGATAATTAGACTGCATGAGACATTTTCGATCTTTATAATATATCAAGTTTCTGTGAGAAATGCGGCTGCCAGCATCTTTCAAATTGATCAGTGTTCTGTTGATGGTTTTTCTTGTATTCAGAATTGTTCATTAATTTTACTGTACCTCATATTGTATGATAGAAAACTTCGTTTTTATGAAAGATCGTGTTTAGAAACGTCTGAAGGAAACTTTGCGAGGGATCCGAAGGATTGTACATTTTTGCAGCTTGACATCACAGTCGAACCTCTGAAATTAGAAAAACCAGCGAATGAAAAAAAAAAACCAGTTGAAAGAAGCAAGCTTTTTTGTTGAGAAAGGAAATTAGAATTACAGGAAATTGTATTTGTAATATTTTTGGCCTTGAATTGCTTCTTAAATGAATTGACAGGATTCTGAACTGAAGGCAAGAGATCATTTGTTTTATTAGTTTTTCACTTCCTTTAAAATTATAAAAATACATCGAGTTACATTTTTTTGCTTTTCTCTCTCCCGTGTTAATAATATACTAGCCGAAAGGCCTCAGGAAATTCGAGTTAAGAAGTCTTCTAATGCATTTTTTCTAAGGGAATTGAGAGATGGATTTCAAGAATTCGACACATGGAGGTTTGAATTATCCAGGTTCAACTGTATTTATTTTACAAATCCATCAAATAATGAACTTCCCGCATGATCATGTCAATTCCCATCAATCGTGGTACCTGAATTTACGGGGTAACTTCAGTCATCGTACGTTGCGTGTTCAAGGTAACAAATGTGACCAGGAGAACCGTAAAGTCCGTCGCGTGGATGCTGAGAATTGGGCCCGAAAAAATCGAATCCATTACCTTGAAGTGTCTGCAAAAACTGGTGAAAATGTCTGCGACACGTTTTTGTGGCTTTCCGAATGCGCCCTTAGTGCCCAGGCGAAACGCTTGGAAAACGAACGCGCGGCTTTGCTTACGGGCAACGAGACCAAAAAGCTATCGGCGAAGAACCGGCGACAAGAGTCTACGTGTTATTCCGCCTTGTGTTACATTTGACGCGTGGCTTGAAAATTATTTGTGCTATGTTTTCGATGGGAATTTTTTGTTTGTTTTTGTAAATATTTAGTCAACTATGGTCGACAAGGCCACGCCTGTTGGTTTCATGTGCGATTTTGAAGTTTTGGAAATTTTGAGAAGTGTTCGGAAAGCTCCTGCGCGATCGGAAGTCCCGACTTTGGTCTCTGCTGCGGATCAAGAAGGGAAACAGCGACTGGCAACTGTGGTTTACGAGGCTGTGAAGTTTCTCGAAAACACACCTTGTGGGAAGCAAACGGCTGAACAGGTGTGAGCATTTTCGTATTATACGCGAATACAAGGCACCGACAATTTCCAGTTTCTTGATGGATTTTTATAATTGTGTTTTTTTATGTACAGTACTGTATTCATATATATTCATTATTAAACTGATGAAGTTTTCTTACAAATCCAAAATCTCACTCAGTTGCATGAATATATGACAGAACCCAGAAAGTACAGTACTTCCCAGGCGAACCGATGAGTCACTTTCGCCAGTCTTCGCATTACAGTTTTTTCATGAAATAATAAAAATTGCATGTGAAAGGTTAAATTCCACGCGCACCTTTTTACAAAATTGAGAAGAAAAAAGGGGGTGTAAGTCATAAGTGGGTTTATGTTTTTTTTTAGTTTTTGTGAGTTGATTCATGTATTGTACAGTACATGTACTGTACTTGATTCTTGCGGGAAATTCAGGGCTAACTTCATAAGAAGAACTTTTTATCATGGAAACAATTTGAAATTAATTTTTTTCAGGTTCAATGCATGCCGAAATTAAAATTTAGCTGTTTTCATTCGTTAATTATTGCATTTTCCAGTCTTGACATGTGGTACAGGAGTGATACCGCAAATTTATCGCACCATTTGTAAATTCAAAAGCTACACAGGAAGCGTTCCAATGTAATCTTCAGCTTTTCCTTTTTGACTTCTACATTAATCTGTGCTTTGAAACTTTAGATTCTACCATCCCTTCAACTTATCCTCAAGAGAAAATAAGAAACTGTAAATCAAGGGTAGAATGTTTTTTTACGAGGTCTAAAGCAGAAAAAATTGGGTTTTCACTTATTTTTTGATGCATGTGGTATTTTGCGATCCGAAGTGTAACACTCATCACGAATTTTCGACATGCAGGTAGAGAAGTTTATGCTTGGAGTGAAGCCATTTGGTCTCAAGAAACTGGAGAAGCTTCAGTTTCTCAACTTAGTTCCCCAAGCCCCAGTGGACTTGCATTTGTTGGTGAAGGATTGCGAGCAACGTTTCAGCGATGAAGAGATCCAAAAGTTAATCGAGCTCGTTCAAGAGAGTTTCCCGGAATGTAAAAAAGAAGAGGAAGAAGAAGAAGAGGAGGAGGAAGAGCAGAAAGCTGAAAATACGGAAGAACCAGAGGTGGAGGACGACGAAGATTTTCAAGAGCCGTTGCCTGACTCGGATGAATGCTGATTTTAACTTTGAATATCTTTTAGGTTTGTAAGTTCATTTATTTGGACGACTTTTCTCGGGCGAGACGACGATTATTTTGTAATCATTCTTTTCAGGCTGTGATTTGGACGCGTTTTGCACTGTTCTTCGATGGAATCTTTCTGTTGAATACAGTACGTGGTTTTCTCTGGTGAACGAAAAGATCAGTCTTCTTACTTTTTTTCACTAGATTATCTAGTAATTTTATCGCTGATTTTCATACTAGAATAGACTTCGCAGGGTAATTTTGCATATGAAATGAGATTGGTAGAACATTATTTACGACATTATGCCTCAAACGCTTCTCGGACATGCTGTGCAATTTGCATCTATGAACATTGTCCTTCAGGTGAGATTTTTTTAAAACTTATTATTGCTTGCCACCGCTGATGTTTCATTTCAATTTTAGATTGCATTTCGTATTTCAACCTTCATTCTGAACGCTGTTCTGCTGAGATACGTTTCTCGTGATGTTCTTGGTATTGTGAATGTTCGGTAAGTTCGGACGATTTGCCTGCTGTTGTAAACTCGAATTTAATTTTGTAAGATTCTTTTAGATTGACCCTGTTGTATTCCACGGTGCTGTTCTTGAGTCACGAAGCTTTCCGGAAGTCGTGTTTGAATCCCGATACTTTGAAACTTTGGAAGAACAACAAAAATCTCTTATGGCTGTCGTGAGTATTCGAACTCGGGGTTCTCGGTATGATGTAAATACTTCTTGGGAATGACTTTAGGTTTCCGGGAGCGATTTTATGCTCTTTTGCTTTTGGATCCGTGTGGGTGTTCCTTCTGTCTGTGCCCCCGAAAGAAATCACGTCGAATTATTCCATTGGTGTGGTGTTGACATGTATTTGTTGCTGCGTTGAAAAGCTCGCTGAACCTATGTACATTGCTGGTCAAGCGTTGAGATTAGTCAAAACCAAGGTGAGTAATGCAATCCGATATATAGAGAACTGTCTTTAATTAATTTCATTCAACAGGTTGTGATTGAAGGTCTGGTCCAAGTCGTGAAAGTGTCCATTTTCGCTGGACTGACGATATTTTGCTCGGCATCCGTTGATCCCGTACTTGGGTTCTGTTTTGCTCAATTGGCAGCTTCTTCCGTTTATTTTCTGGCGTACTGTGTCGTTTTTACTCGAGATCATCGCATAACTGAAGGAAGAATACTTGGGTTCGGAGACTTCATTCCGGATTCTTCCATAATTCACGCGGTGAGCATGACCTCGTAATTTTTGCACTTTCCTAGTGATGGTTAGTTCAAGAAATTTTTCATGACCCTCGTTTCGCATTCTCGAAATGTTGCCCGTAAATTTTTCAGTGGAAGCAGCCAAATGCAAGTCTGACGTGGAGTTTCTTCAAGCAAGGATTTATGAAGCAGTTACTCACGGAAGGAGAAAGATATGTGATGACATTTATCCCAGTACTGAGTTTCGCGGACCAAGGCGTGTTTGACATCGTTAACAACCTCGGGTCATTAGCTGCGAGGTTCATCTTTTTGCCAATTGAAGAGGCGTCTCATTTCTACTTCGCCCAGTCTGTGCGACGTGGTAATGTCGATGGGCAACTTGAGGCGAGTTATTGTCTGTCTCATTGATGAAGACTGTATTTCGTCGGTGCACGTAATTTTTGTTCATTTGAAAGTTTATTAGTCCTGTACTTGGAGCGGAACAGTACTTCCTAAATTTATTTTTAAGATTTTATTCAGATGACATGAGCATACTTCAGTTGATTTATATTGAACGTTCTCGTCGCCGTCGTGATTGATTCCGCTTCATAGTTGAAGCCGGGAAAATGTCGGAAAACGAGCGTTTTTCAGGAGGGTCTTCGGATATTCAAATTTCGGAGTAGAAATTATCTTAAATTTTATAGAAATAATATGGAGATCGTTTTTTTGAAGAAGTAACTATAAATATTATACTCTCATGTGCTTTTCAGATCTTTGACTTCATTCCTTTGTCAGCCCCCTCATGAAGATTTAGTTGAAACAATTTTTGCAATTAGAAGGATTTTTTTTTTATCAATTTAAAGGTCACGGATGACGAGAAGTTTTTGAATTGATGCAACTGAAAAAGGTGACTGAATCTTTTCATGATTTATAAATTGAAAACACTTCAGGCAACAGCTTTTGAGATAGATGGTGAGATGATTTTCTATACTAATCTTATGTCTGAAGTTTCCTGAATATTCTGAGTCAAAATAACTAAGGAGTAATTCGCGTATCGTACCGTATCAATTTCAGCATTTCGTCAGTCACTTGAAAATTTCAGGAAATTGAGGTGTTCATGCAAGCTTCTAGATTTAAATTTGTTTATTATAGGAATCGAGTCAAGTGCTGGGCAAGTTGATCCGTTCGATGATGTTGATCGGGCTGACAATATTTGCATTCGCAATTCCTTTTGCCGAACCGTTTCTTTTTCTCTACGGAGGAGCCGCTCTCGCGAATTCCGAAGCGCCAAAACTGCTCGTTGCCCATGCATTCTACGTGGTATTTTTGGCCATCAACGGGGTAACGGAATGTTATTCCTTCGTTTGCATGACCAAAGAACAGCTGGAAAGGTATGTGCCTCATGATCCTTTTTTCTTCTCTGCGTGTTTCATGTTGATGTGTTTCAGGTACAACGTAAAGCTCTTATGGATATCTGGGGCATTTCTGCTCGCATCTTACTTGCTCACCAGTTGGCTGGGCAGCGTTGGATTCATTTTTGCAAATTGCTGTAATATGGCGCTCAGGATCCTGAATAGGTTTGTCTTCATTTTATTATTTTAAGAGCATCGGTGACGCTTTTTTCTCCCGACAGTGTCGAGGTGATCAAGAAACAGAAACTGAAGGATAATCCACTGGATGAGTTGAAACCGCGGACGGTGACAGTGGCTTTACTCACAATCGGCTCATTTTTGGCTTATTGTTCGAAGGTGAGTTCCAAGGAAATTTTTCGAGAAGTTCTCGTGCGGTGGAATCTTTTCATGAGAATTCTTACGCAAAACATGGCATTCTACACCATTAACTTCTACCCCTCGCGGTTTTTCACTAGTCTGTTACAGCAATATTGTGGATGGAAGTACATTTTTTTGGAAAAATGCCGCCCATTGTATACGTTGCTTGATGGATGTCGATTTTATTGCTATTACAATTCTTATTTCCAGGTTTATATTTTCCCGAGATCAATTTTGATCCATTTGCTGATCGGAGCTAGTGTGTTCCTGTGGTGTATTGCCTCAATGGGGCTGACGACCGAGAAGGATCTGATGCTCTCTGCTCTTGGGTATTTTTTCAGAAGACATCTGTCCGGACATGAAACCAAGAAAATGCAATGATGTAATTTCTTTTTGGATGTTGAAATTTAATAGGCATTTCTTTTTAAATTACGGTACCTTTGCTTAACTGTTGTAATGTGTACCGTGACTTAAAAAATCGCGAACTGGAGGAAACCACCCCTCAAATGTTTCCCGCGCGTGGAAGTCTGTTGTTGAGGTGTTCTCGGAAATGTATCGCGGAAGTGTTGATTCTTGCAATTACTGAGCGTTATATTTATACACAGCTGTGTGATTTCCCTTTTATTGTTGATTGATTTGCCCGATTATAACTATCGTTTGAATTGACTGGGAATGTGTATGTGTTCATTTTTTGCGTTGAACTGAAGTTGATCGTGGGGCGAGCTAATATTTTGTCTCTCCACGCTTTAGTACTAATCCCCGGATCAGGTTCCCAAGATGGCCACCCGGGTGCCCATTCAGTCGAATCTGGCCTGCGGCAAGCCGGAAAGGTGTGAGGAAGGGAAAATTCGCGCTGGATTTCCCAAAATCAGGAGCCTGATTCTGAGATTATGTAATTCGGAAATGAAAATTTACTTCCTGAAGGTTCACGCTCATTTGGACGTGCAATTATGCGCGTTATGTTTGTGAGATTTGTGCCGTTTATTTGATTCAGATTTTCGACGAATGAGATATTATCGATGCTCGCTTAACTTTAATGAACTAACCGAGGAGCGCACTTCTTGAATAAGATCATCTCAACACAAGCAGGAATCGTTTCAACACTACCACCAGGTTTGATATCGTGAATATTGAAAGATAAGGGAAGAATCCGGAAGCGCTCAGCTATTGGATTGTGCTGTTTTATATCTGCGGGAATAATGAGATTCTAAATGAGTGACCTTGAATTTTGTGAATTTGGAAAGCAAAGTTTGTGCTGTTGATGTCGCTCCTTCTGGAATATATGGCGTGTGAGGAGAAACCCTTCAGATATCGGGTCTGTTCGGTGTGTTACTTCTTGTATAGTAGTTGATGTGTCTAAATTGACTCTCTTCGCTGGAACATGCGTTGACTTGTCAATAGAAGTAGGTTTTTCATGACTTATTTTTCGTCGCATCACGGTTACCCTGCAACATACGAGAGTGACTGCGCATCTTCAATTTAAAATGTTCTAAAGGCCCCCTCCCCCCATGATTCTGACTTCTACAGGAAAAGACATCTCCGCGTCTGCAAATTCTTAAGATTTAATGCCTCATATGTGACTTGAAATGTCATCGTTTAAAACAATTGAGTTTTGAAATGACGGTTGACGTCGTCAATCCCGTCATCTTGGTCTGAGCAGGTTTCGAAAACACGTCTTGAAGCACAGTACCTCCGTTGTACATTTGAAAAGACGTGTACAGAGTACTGTATGTAATTTTCAGTAATTCCGTGCGTGCGATGAAGGCAATAATTCATGTTTCTCGAACCAGATTATGTAAGCCTCACAATTCTTCAGGCACTTGTTTTGCTCATGTTGCATTAGTGGATTTCCGCCGTAATATTTGCGCTCATTCGTTCATGTCTTGCGGAAATAACTGAAGAATCAAGCGAGGGGACATCGTCAGGAGAAAATGTTAGTCATTTCGTGCATTCAGGCAAACCTGATTTCCCTTCTAATTTTGTGATTCGCATTGCACCTGGTTTGTCAATTTTTTCTTTCCAGAAATGTTTCTAGAAGTTTTTTCTGAGCTACAACTGAAACTTTGCAAACCCTTCCATCCTTTTTTCTTCTAACGTGAAGATATAATGTTAGATGTGTCGACAGGAGGAAATAGCAACTAAGGGGATTGTGCAGACAATGTACAGTACAGTACTGAATAACGGCGTGAAAAAGTGCGTTTCCCGCCCACAGCTTGTTCCGCCTCTTGGTAACAAATGTGCGTCCGTGGAAATAGTATCACTCTTTGCCGCACCTAGTCTTCTCTCTTGGAAGGGTGCTTGAATCTCCGAGAGCACTCGCGCAATCTTCTCCCATGTGGGCTCCCAAGGTAGGCAATCTCCTGTGCCTTGGTTTTTTGATGAGCTGCTGGAGTCCTGCATGTGTCAGAGTTACTTTTATTCGCGTTGGAGTGAACATAGTAAGAAACATTTTTCCCGTCCCTGAAACTCGTTGGAGACGCGTTCATGCTCGCGAATTTTCGTAGTAGGGGTTCCTCAAACTTTTGATCCCAGTGGAGAAGTTTGCATCTCGTTCGTGAACATATTCACGCGCTCTTCTCCGAGTGTTTTCAAATTAACAAGCATTTTTTATGTGGATTTTCATGAAATTTTGCACCTTTCGAATGATCAGAACAGGATCTCGATGACCATCTTTCAAACTATGAGAATACAGCACCTGTTGGTCAATTTCTGCTGGAAGACAATTAAATTGAGCCCCTTGAAAAATCTCTTGTTTAAAATAATTTTTGGCATTTTGTGAAGCAAGTTTTTTCATGGATTTTTTAGAAAATTTCGCCCCTTAGATATGGGACTGGCTAAATCAAGTTGAGTCTCGGTGAGTCCAAAGTTCGCATTTCAAATGTTTTCGTCACTTCTGGAATTTCTAGAAATGGAATTCGAAGAATCTTGATAACGGCAGTTGGGATTATTCCCGAGGATGTTCACATTGTGTACTTCTTTCTCTCTTGAAAAGAAAAAAGTAAGTCCAATACTGTACAGTGCTATTATTCTCCCAAATATTTTACATTTAATAAAAAATAACAATGTAATCTCAATGGAATTTCCTTCGCATCGCGTTCGTTTCATGTTTCAATCGAACATTTTATGATAAGATTTTCTCTCCCCAATTTCTTGGAAACTCAATTTCACGAAACTGACGCGATTTTGGTGTTCGGATATCAGATGGACATAATAACCCTAATGTTAAAGGAACGCAGATACCTTCTGGAAGCGGACAGCTTTCAAATATTTTCTATTGATTCAGCATTTCTGAATTTGAAAATATTGAAATAAATCGCTTTTCAGATGCAAATGTATTTCTATGTTAGCGACTTTTCCAAAACCTAAGTTTTACGGATTATAGCTATTGGAGCCGGAATAGGATACAGAGTATTTACAGTACATGGCTAAGAAATATGAGTTGAATTTATGTTTTATCTGATTATAAATTCATTGTTTTAAGTCATAGTTTTATAGAAATGGTATTGTTGTTTGAAAGTCGATCAGAAATATTCCTGTCCACGCTGTGATTTTATTCGGGAACATCGATTTTGAATGAGAGTGAAATATACCTCGTATTTTATTCGTCGCTTCCACGCATAAAATTTTCCGAAGAGTTTCCTTGAATTTGCATGCGATGGAAATTCAGTGACGTGAGACGTATTTAAATTGGCTGGAAAGTAATTGCATACAGTTCATGTCTTCCTCTCGATTGATCAATCGGAGGGTTTCAAAGTAGATGTGATTTGTTTCTTGGAAGCTAAGTAGAGTGTAAATTCACATGTTTTCGTCGTGCTTTTTTTTTTTTTAACAAAGAATTGGACGGCTTTATCCTCATATTTTTTTTAGCTTATCAGTGTTACAGTTTCCCTTAGGATGGAATTGCACCTTCTAGGGCCACGCATTAAATTGTCCGAAGATATTATTTGAATTTGCATGTGATGGAAATTCAGTGATGTGAGCCGTATTTCAACATTCCGAAAAGTGATTGCACATATTTTCTGGCGTTGCCTCGATTGATGAATTAGGGGAGGGAAGCAATTTTTAGTGTTTTCGTTGGACTTATTTTCCGAAGAATCTGGCAGATTCATTCGTATATTTCATGAGCTTATCAGTGTTACTATGGTATTCCACCTTCTTTGCCAAAAGACGAAACTTAATCGAGCGGGGTTTTCATGATCCCGGATTCCACTAGCTTCGAATTGCGGCGTTTCGGTGCTGGCCACATTCCGGGCCCTGGCCCTCAGGTTTTCCTGGGGGGTTTCGGAAACGGAGTGAAGATGAGGGGGGGGGGGGGCCTGAGTGTCGCGCGGGGCGATATTGATCCCGGGCGCGTTTTATGCCTAAGTTGCGGGCGCCCTGTCCCAGTGTTGTCGCCGGCTTTGGCGCAATTTCATGCAAATTTCCGCGAAAAGGTAGCAAGTCATTCGGGGTGGTGGTCGTGGTGCTTGTGATTCTGCTGCTGTGTGGACTTGGGAGACGAAAATCGGTGCTGCTTGAGTATGGTATCTACAGTACCTCCTTTCCTTTGTGATGTTACGTGACGTGGCTGTGGATTTGATACTGTATGACATTTACGGTACCATAAATGTTCCAGGCATCTTATCGAATTTCTCAAAAATCTGTGACTATTTTCTGTAGGGAAACTTTTTTCGGACTCATTAGCACAGGAACGGAAAACTATTTTTCATGCGAAATTCCGAGGGCAGATGACATTTTTCAAAGGTGCAGCAGAATACTTTTATTAAAAATCTCGTTTTAAAATATAATTGCTTGCGACAAAATCATTTTTGTCCCTGCCCAATGGCAAGAATGGTAAATGAGTAACTATTGTATATGCAATAATGACTTTTTCCTTGCAACAAATATATTTTATTGGCCCTCGTGGCTGTGTTGTCTTACTTGATGGAATGTCATGGTTCAATAAATGTGGTACAGTACTTTACTTTTGAGAGTGATTTTTTCTCCCCAAAAATAGGCTGAAATTTTGGAAAAGTTTGATATTTAGGCGGAAAAAATGAGAAAAAGTGCATTTAAATTGTAAATTGATTTAAATTCTTGAAGAGAGGAAGTGCGGTTTTTCGGAGTCTTCTGGGATCTTCGTTGGAGAATTAATCCAAATAAATCGTACGTTATACTGTATCTTATATGAACGATTTTGTTCGTCAGTAAACCAGAAAAAGGCAATACCTGTAGGGCTTTTTTTTTGTAAATAAAGTAGTTGTTCGCTAGCAATATCATTGTAATTTCTCAAAACTTCTCAGTGATCCTCATGTGATGGCTGTTTTATCTTTTGCCTGGAGGCGATGACCAAACAATTAACTTATCTGTTTTATGTGCAGCAATTAACCATTGAACGAGAAATTAAAAATTGGGCACACTTGCGGAGTTCTTGAAAGTTATATACAGTACTGTATTCTCATGGCAGCCTCTTCTCTGAAGATAACGGTGAAATAAATCCTTGCATAATTTTTGCGGCTTCTTTTTATTCCAGTTCTTGTGTCTCTCTCCCTTCATCAACTCGATTTTATCTCGTGTATCTTTAAAGCTTGAGTTATGCAATAATGATTATTTTATCGGTGCGTAAATATGGAACCCGTGGGAAATGCAGAAAGTGCAGACTGATGCTTGCCGGGGTAATTATTGCGCTAGATT